GCCACTCCATTTCTTGCTTGAAATACTTTTCCTGGAGGAAATATTTCCTCTGTTGCGTAACTGCTTTCCTCACTCAGACCATGTATTCCTCTGCAATAGTAAATACAGGTCCTTCTCAGCATTTTTGTTGCTGCATAGTCTTGCATTGTGCCTTAGGCAATTAACATCGCCACCCCTCTCTGACAGTCTGCAGGAAGACCACACTCCAGGGAAACTGCTCCATAGCATAGGGAAATGATGTGTGTGTGTGTGTGTGTGTGTGTGCGTGTGCCCTGGAAGGCACTGATGACAGAACTGCTTGTGCCCTGTGCCCTGCATCCTATGCCCTCAATCCTGCCCAACCTGGTTCTAGTGCTGTCTTTCTTCTTATGGGAGAGTTCTGGTGTCAGGGCCTGTGTCTGCATTTGTGTGTACATACTGTACTTCGATGCAGTGATAAAAAGCCAGCTGTACTGTGTGTGGAAAAGGTCTCTCTGCCTTCTGAATGCCATTTGCAGGAAAATGGGTAGAATTGTCATACTGTGATAAGCCAAATAAGGCAGACTCATCTGTGGAACCTCTGTTTGATACATATGAATGCATATATACATACATTTATACATGTCAAAGACAGAGTAGAAGTAGGAGCTACTGGTGGGAGGGGCAACAAGAGACAGTACTAGGGATAATCATGAAACGACCTAAGCCTGTCATAATAAAACACTTCTCATGTCAGTATTATCAGGTATGCTGGAGCATCCTTGGGATTCTAGCACCGAGGAGGCAAAAGTGGGAGGATTGCCACAAGTTTGAGACCAGCCTGGTCGGGAAGAGCAAGTCAGCAGTCCATATTCCCCAAAGAAAAGGAAAATAAATCTAAGCCCTTTGTAGTGTATCTAATTCTAGCAGATGGTGGCTTAGTTAATGTAGAGCTAAGTTAAATGGTGAAGCGTCCTAAATGTAAGCAGACTGTGGTTTAAAACTCATGCACAATTGCGCCCGAACGCCCTGCCTCCAAGGCCATCCCTGCAGCAGCAGCTGAGACTGCAGGTATAGGGAAAGAGCTTGCACGCATGGACCGCACAGGGGGCAGCTATTCGGCCTTGCCCACACTGCAGCAGTGACGGCAGGGTCCAGGGAGCAGGGGCGCAGGGACCCAGCATGCCTCATAGCAGGGGAGGGAGTCCCAGGAGCAGGGATGGAGGCAGCCTGCGAAAGCACGGGTGCACAGGCTGTTGCTGCTAGGTAGAGAGCCCCACACCCCCTCTCTCCAAATACAGAAGGACCCTGGCAATTCTAATCTTTCAAAGGCAGGGATAGAGGCCTGACCTCTGGTAATTAAAGGGGATCTTGTAATGGCTCCAGTCCTCCTGTTATTGTTCAGTGAGGTGTGAGAGCCATACCCATCCTGATGTCTTTTTCCTGGAGAGGGGATACTTTTGACATCAACCCCTACACAGTCAGCTTGTCCCTCAGGGAACCCAGAAAGATATTCTAAATTTTATATCCCCCTGTAGTGCTTAGCCTCGCAGCCTAGGCAAGAATTTAGATGGCCAGTCAGAGGGGGTTCTGGGTGGCCCCTCTCTGCTTGGTCTAGGGGTGGAAGTCCCCTCTTTTAGGTTGAGTGGAGATGGGTTTTGGGAATACCCTGGATAGAGCAAACAACCTTGTCTTGAGTCTCGTGGTCCTCCATAGCTAACTTATGATAATGTATCTGAATAGGTTTTGCTACCAAATTATTTATCTGTTGTTTCATAAATTTAGTAAGCCTATTTAAGGCCCTGGGACCAAAAGAAATAAGTGAAAGTAACCCAATTAATGGTCTCACAATGGAAGGAAATAGGTTGACAAACATGGAGAGGTTGAAAATCAATTCTTGTACCAGCTCTCATCTTTCTCTCTCTCTCTCTTTGTCTTTTTTCAGGGCTTTCGCTGACCTTTTTCATATTCTCTTTAACCATCCCTGTCTTGTCTATTTAAAAGCAACATTTATCTTTAAGGGCTGTACACAGTCAAGAGCTATACACAATCTTTTCTATTGTAAAAGAATAAATAAAGTCCAATAAAGTCCTTTGTATTTTTGGAGATCATTTCAGACAGCAAAATGAGAGATTTCTTCAGATTAGTGACGTCAATCTCTAGCTGTTCAGTGTCCTTATCAATGGCCCATCAGAGGTCTGAGTAGTGTAAGTTCGGAGGCCAGCATCAGGATTAGAACTTCCAACCACAAACACCATGAGTGATTCATTTAAACACCATGAGTGATTCATTTTTACCTGGAAAGGAAAAAGAAGGGAACTCTCAGGGAGATTTCTCCTCCCTTGATATCAATTGTTATTCATCTTAATTATAATTGGGCCTGTCTTTGTTGGGGTATCTATTTATTTCATTAATCTTTCTGGCAGCTATTTAGCTGTGCCTTCTTTGGTATCAAACAGGCATATCAATCTTTGGCCCCAGATGAGAACTGGGTCCTGGCCATTCCATTTGAAGTTAAGAGGGTCTTTCCACATAACTGTGGCAGTTTCATTGGTCATGCCAGAGGCAGTCAGCAGCAGGTTTGCCATGAGCTTTCAGATTTAGAAAATTAAAAACGAACAAGGCATGATGGAGAGTGTTTCTGGGGGACTCCTTCTGGGGGTGTAGCTCCCCCTCTTTTGTTTTTAAAAGCCAATTTTTTAGAGTTCTTAGTAAAACCAGGGCAGAAGCACCAGAAGCCACTTCTCCCACACTCAGACACTATATTAAAGTTCCACAATATCTGTTTTATAATAACTTGTCCTTGAGGATTATAAGGAATTTTAGTAACATGGGTAATACCAAATTGTCAACAAAACATCTCAAATGTCTGACTATAAAAGTCAGTTTTGTTTATTTTAATATGATGTGGAACATCAAGTATAAAAAGATAATATAGGAATAACTAATTGTACTTTTGATTGTTTTTCTTGTTAAAGTAATTGTAACTAGAAAAGGTGTCAAATCACATATACATATTTAAATTTTTTAAAAATCAGAAATGAGTAACATATACTTACCATAAATGATTAAATATAGGTCCTCAAGTATTAACACTATTCTTTTAAAAAAATGAGAACACTGAAACAAATTTTGTAATTTGACTTATATACTCTCTAAAAATATCGAATTGTTGTCTCAAGCTATTATTATTAAACATAGATCTACAAAAAATGTATTATCTTGTGATGATGTTATATAGTAGATGACTTTTTAAATCTTAATGATGATCTTATAAAAGTTTTTAAAATTATACCTATGATTATTAAGCTCCTTTATAACAAGACTGTTACTAGGTTCCTTTCTGATAGTCAAAACTGTAATAAGAATTGTGTCAGTCTCTCAAATAATATCAGTTAATTGTTTTTAGATAATAACCAGACTTTTTTTTCACTCAGAGCATATTTTAAAAGGTTATAAAACAATTTTTCAAAGATCATTAAAAAAGGAACCAACAATTTAGTATAGGTGTTAGGATGAAAAACAAAATACTGTCTGGGCTTATCTACACAAATCTTTACTGATAACCCAGTTATAGTTCTAAGCCCTCAGTGAACCTGTGGAGCCACACAGGTAATGGATGTTTAGCCACACAATCACTTCCAACAAATATGTATATAGACATTCTTCATTATAAACCTTTATTTCAATTTAATTTTTGGTATAAACTTATAGCGAACTTTGTAATGTGTGATCATATATTTTAAAAAAATATGTGAATATTGAGGACAAAAGGATAAGAGGGTAAATGTTATGGAGAGAATAAGCAGAACTCTGCCTTTTTCCACTTAGGATAGCATATAAAATAGAACCTTTTTTTCCCTCTCTCAAATAAAATAGAAGTTTTCTTTGTACTTTTTTCTTAGATAGCTTTCATAGGAAACTTTTTCTACACTTAATGATAAACTCTTTAATAACTTATTTAAGTGGCCTCAGACTTGTAGGCATAAGTCAGAGCCTAGCAGTTTTTGCCTAGACAAAATAAAAGCTGTTTACTTAATCTTTTGGCTGTTTTTAGAATGAGGTGCTAAGTGCAAAAAACCTGAAGTTTCTGGCTTCAGGGATCACAAAGGGCAGATCAGCTACAGTGGCACAGCAATCTAGATAGACAAACTTTTATTATATAGTAACCCCAGTGTAAAGAATAAAATTGTGTGGCCAATTGTTTTTGTAAGGTCTGTAATCTATCTGATACACAAATTTGTCATGGCATTTTCCTGGAGTCCAAGCAATCTAGTATGAGCTCTTAAATGATACATGGTTTTTAAATTGGGCTGTATTTGTAAAATTTGAAAATTAGCAATATCTAAAAAGGAACAATTTTAAGTAATTATAAACCATGAGCTATATACTAGCTATGAGTATACCAATTGGAAGCTTAATTTTTTGTATTTTAAACAGTGTCTACAGCACATAGTTCAATTATCTTTGCTGAAGTAGGGGAAACTCAAGAGAGTAAACATGTAATCTAATTATATATATATTGTCTTTTCATTAAATGAGCTGTCTCTTAATACAGTAAACACACCTTTTAAAGGCTATAAAATCATGTATAGGGGAAAAACTGTAACAAATTGATCATGTATTAGGCCAAATACCATATTTTTTAATAACCAATTATATTATTGTTTGGAATAAGGAATATTTCATTAAGTTCTTCCTTAAAATACCTTTGTGATCTTAACCTATAATTTTATATTAACATAGCAACAGCTTTAAAACAAGATGTTAAAACTTCTTTTGGAAATAAAGAAATATAAATCCATATTAATAATCTCTTTTATCAAAGGACTGTTATAAAATAGCCACCAACTAATCAATCTATATAATATATCTATTAATAACAGCTTTTTTCTGTTTTCTGTAAGATTAGTTTTCTTTTATCAGCCAACTGTAGAAATAGATTAGGGTTTGTATCTTTCTCGAGAACATTAAACAGAGGTTTAAACTCTTTTGTGGAGAGTTTAAAAATAAGGTCTTAGCCAATTAGCGTCTCCTAGAAATTTTTTTTTAAATGAATAGACCTCATTTATTAGATTCATAGAAAACACTTAACTGTACAAAACTTACAGAGAAAAATGGCCATATTTGAAAACAGCTAAAAGGATCAAAGTAGAACACAGAATCGTAATGAGCAGCGTCACAGAACACACTAAAGAGGTATGTATAGTCAGTCCCACCGGAACCTGGACTGTCAAATTCTTAAGTATTGATTTGTACTGCATGTTTTTCCACTGGCAGGTCTCCTCACTCTTCAAAGCACAAGGAGCTGCTACTTCTGACTGAGCCCAGCATTTCAAAATTGGAAACTCTTGGTCACAGTACATCAGTAAGTCGGGATTATTGACCACAATGAGGGTGTCTCCATCTTTCCCGTGTGGCCGGTGGTAGCGATAGTGCACAGGTAAGAAGGCCTGGAAGCAGTCGATGCACTGCGCGTCCTGCCGGGCATAAATGAGGACTGCAGACTCGTTGGACAAATAGTTGGGGGCTTCTATATTAAAACTTTCTGATACCATCACTGCCTCTGAAAATAATTTAAAATTAGTTAACTATCCTTTCTTATTTGAATTTTTTGTGTCACAATTTATTTAGGAATATAGCTGATGTCTCAAATACTGAAAAGATATTGTTTTTGGATGTTTTCTGGAACAACAAGCACTCTTAATGTTAAAGCTCATTGTATGAGAGCAAAGGCTTGTATTAGACCTCCTTTAGAGGGATCAACTAGTAAGCCAATTGTGTAACAAAAGGAAGGTTTTCATCAGGGTTTGTTTGATCCCAGGTAAAACTCTTACTGAGATCTCTATTATATAACTGGTTTTTGAATGATTCTAACTCTGATTTACCAGTTTTAATCCAGCTTTTTGTCATCAAAGTTATAAACTTGTAATCATACCCAATAATATATAACCAGGACATATAGAACATATTTATATTTTTAATACCAATCAAGAATAAGAATAAATGCACACCTAAACAAATTTTTCTTATCTTTTAAACTGTAATTACAAGAGAAAAGCAACCTTTCACTTATCTAACTGGGAAGAACCAAAAAACCTGCTGGCCTCCTTCCAAGAGCTGCTTATGAAAACAGTTAACTCTTCCCAAGGTTCTTTCTGCTGGTGCCCTTCTCCAGCCACAGAGCAGGGTAAATTATCGCTTTTGCTGTGTAAATTGAGATTGATTCCCAAGCAAGCTTCAAACTAAATCAAGCAAGCAGTTTTAACCAGTTTTTCTTTCGAACATGAAACATAGAACACAACAATCACTCAGACAATGAGACAAAGACATACAATTGACACACGGACAGTATTGGTGTGCCAATGACAGACAATAGACAGAGAAAGTAGAACTGAGAATGTCTCCTAGACAAAGCCTGAGAGACTAGGGTGTCTCCCAGTCATCTCTTCCTTCTCAGGAGGGCTCTGTAATAAGCTTTTCTTTTTTCTAACACGCCAGAGAGCAGGCAAGTCCTTTCTTTTTCTTTTTCTTTTTTTTCCTCTCTCTCATTTTCAAGGTTCAACTTCTTATCTCCTCCTTAGGAGGTATAACATTTTTTATCAACACTAATGAAAAACACCACTAATGAAAGCAAAGAATTTTTAAAGATCCGTTTTTTCTTAACCCTAGTTCCCTGTGTTCTGAAGATAGGCTCCTGGAGTCCTGTCACAAAAAGTGACTGCGTAGAAAACGTTTGTCCCATGCTTTGTCTTTAACCCTAATTCCTTGTGTCCTGAGTTGACTCACTCCTTGAGTCCTGTCATGAAGAGTGACTGCTAAAATATCTATCCCAATACCCTCTACCTCTACCTTGCCGCTGTGATCCTCCCCAGGATCATCTCACGGTTGGGTGGACCGTGGTGTCCTTCTGAGTTGAGGCCGCTCTCAGGCGGAACTCCGGAGTCGTCCTCTTGGGTGCTCTTGAGAAATTCCAGAGTGAAGCCTCTGGAAGTCACTCTAAAAAGTTCTCTGATACTCAAAGTGCCTTCATGCACTCCGGGCAGCCACCCTCAATGCTCCCGAAAACCTGGTAAGCTTACCTTCCTCTGTATGAGTCAGCTCTTCCTCTTCTGCAATCTCCTTGAGTCCCTGAACACTGAGGGGTGGAATGTCTAGATTTCAAGCTCCACAATGCTGGGCACCAAAATGTCCTGTCCAGCAGGGCATTAAACAGGGGTCTGGGAAGATCACTTGAAAGAGAAAGTGGAGAACAGGCCAACACACAGAAGGATGATCTGTCTATAATGTGATCAGATCGCCATTTTTATTTTTGCACACACATGCTATATACACAAAAAGGCAGGATATGGGGAAGGGGATGACACAGGAATGAGGGTGTTCAGGGGGAATACAGATTGTTCAGGGGGAGCACAGATATCTTCCAGAACAGAGTGTCAGCTGGGTGAAGGTTCAGTAGACAGGACATTATGACTCTGTCTATGATTCATTTGTCTTTATCTAAGTTGGTACTATCCACCAAGGTTACCTATTTTCAAGGCCTATGAGTAACCAGGCTTAGCAGCATTCCACCAAAGCTGTTTGTTTACAATAAATTCTAGGCATCTGTTTCAGTGTTTTTCCACAGAGACCCAAGACATGGTGCTAGCAGGCATGTATGTCAGGCCTATTGTTGATTTTAGGACTATGGCTGATATTATGCCTTCAGTGTATAAGCAGGGCTGCTCCTGACACCCGAAGACAGCTGGGACAGGGAGAAGGCAGAGAGGCTTTCCCGTGTGGTGTGTGAGTTTCCCACTTACACAAGAGAGTCCAGAGTTCCAGGATACATGTGGAATCGAAGACATGGAAGTTTTATTGGTCATGTGGATGGTTGAATCTAGATGGTGTGCTTGCCCACAAAATGCCTGGAGGGGCCCCATTATATTTGGGAGCAGGGAAACAGGAGGGGCTAGGGAGATGAAAATTTAGTTATCTATGCCCCTGGCCTTTAGATAATTCATTAATATGTAAATCTTGAGGCAGAGGCCTGTTAGTCATGCCCTCTGCCATACGTGACCTAGCATGCAGGTTAAATGGAAGTGGTCTCTGGGTTCTGGGGGCATGGCCAAACACCCCAGGGTGTCCTCTACAGCCAGACAGCAGACCTACAGCTTCACAGATGCCATTCCCACTGCTGAGTGTCAAGGCAGGAAACTGTCCCATGAAGCACCTCTCTCCACCTACTGGGCGGTGGCAGCATTAGACTTAGGGCCTCAGACTTGGACCTGGCACTACTCGCTGGTCAGCTGCATGGTCCTGGGAAAGGCCCACCTACATCACTGAGGCTCTCTGATAAACTGAAGCTGCTGAGAGGGAAACATGAAGGGTACAGTTCTGTTCAGCTCAGTAGATGCTGGGAAAGGAAGGAAGAACGTCTTGTCTGGAGCATGGCAATGAACTCTGGAGAGTGGCAGGACTGGCAGGTTTGGACTAGAGGGATGCAGTCAGAACTGTGTTTGGAAGAGAATGCTTAGAACAGTTGGGATGAAGCAGAGGAAGGGAAGATGGCACTGAGGACATTGAGCCCAGCATCTGAGTCAGAGATTCGAAAAGAGTGATGTTGACCTGACCCAGTCGTGCCAAGAGTTGTAGTGAGGGGCCACCTAAGGGCCTTTTCTGGAAGATCATCAGCAGGGCCCAGTGACAGACTATCTAGAGGACATGGAGAACTTCCCAGCTTGCTGTCTGCCAGTCCTCTGTTCTGCTTTTTTGTCCTCATGTTTTTTCACTATCAGCTGACTCTGCAAAGATTCTGATGTCTTGGATTATGAAATTGTCTCTTAGAGACAACACTGAAGATCACATTACTAGAGGTGTTAGCATCTATTATTGTTTAAATCTTGACTTTCATCTTAGGGTCATGTTTTGAATGCTTGTCTCCAATTTGTGGCAATACTTTGGGGACTGCAGAGAGTGAACAGTGGGATCTGATTGGCAGAGACAGAACATGTGTAGTCGGCCTTTGAAAGTTATATTCACCCTGGCTGTAGCTACCCTCTGCTTCCTGGATGGGAACATGTTTTTCTCCTGTGCCCAATGTTTTCTCACACTGAGACCTTTGAAAGAATGAACCAACATAAGATTTTCCAGTCTCTAGTTCGATCAGGTCACAATGCAGAGTATAAATACAAAAACTTGCTTCCAGTGAAGCGGGTTTGTTTCAGTGTAAGCCAGACTGGGTGGTTTTATGTCTTTGGAACCCACTTGTAGAAGTAATGGAGAAGAGTTTGGAGAAGGCATAGTGTGTTGTAAGTATACTTTAATGGTTCTGGCAAGGTATAAATGGCCAGGACACCTATAGAAGTACAGGCAGTAGACTGCACATATGTTTCACTTGGCCACAGAATTCTATTGGGAATTGTGCGAGGTATTTTTGTTACATTTTGGTGGAGAATATCTATGTTCTGCTGGTATTTGAGAAAATCTGAATTTTCAAAAGCAGTAAATCAGAAGATTTACTTAGCAGAGGAAATGTCAAGAAAGTACAATATTCAGGCTGTGGCACCATCATTGATGCCTTTTAGCAAGGTTTATACTGAGAATTAAAGCAGAGAGTGAGACAAAAAGATTTCAATATGTGTGTGGGCAAGGATGGGTGTGTAGTCAGCTCAAGTTGCAGACAAATGGAAACAAAAGGGCTATATGGTTTTGTTTTTTAAGATTTATTTATCTATGTATGTGAGTACAAGGTCACTCTCTTCAGACAAACCAGAAGAAGGCAGAAGAACTAACTACAGATGATTGTGAGCCACCTTGTGATTGTGGGAATTGAACTTAGGACCTCTGGAAGAGCAGTCAGTGCTCTTAACCACCGAGCCAACTCTCCAGCCCAGGTGATATTTTTTTAAAAAAATATTTTTGTCTCACTATGAGTCTGTTTTCAAAATTGTCTTTTAGTCTGTGTGTGTGTGGTCAGTGGTGTCATATTGCCTGGAGCTGCAGTTACCAGCAGTTGTGAACTCCCTGATGTGAATACTTGTCGTGCAGGAATTAAACTCAAACTTGGGGACTTTATAAGAATAGCATGAGTTTTTAACCACTGTGCCATCCATCTCTCTAGCCCCAAGACCTATATTTTTTACAGAGATTAGAAGCCTTGCACTTTGCATTGGGACACTAGGAATGATATGCCGAAGGCATGATCTCTCTGAAAGTAAGCTCTGGGTTCCACATTTCCAAGTCCATTAGAAAAGGATTCATCTCTAAAGAGTGCAAGCTGAAGGGGTATCCTGGTCCACAGTCACCCAGGGAAGTGTTTCCTAGTCTCAGCTGCACAGGGCATTTGGCACAGAGCGGTCTTTCTAGTTCTCAGGCTGGAAGCAGAACTGGGCACTGTCCATGTGGTGCTAGTGTTTCAGGATCATATAATTCCAAGATTATTGGATCATGGGGCCTTGCATCAACATCCCAGAGATGAACCTGTGAGCCCAGGTGACATGTAGTACAGTCAGGCTCCCTGCAGGGTCCCTCCAAGAAGGATTCACATGAAGCTGTGAAGGTGAAATCTGAGTCACAGTGGAGA